TAGCCACGCGTCGCCATCTGTCTTGCCTAGGAAGAGTTTCAACTTAGCTGCGTCGCACTTGATCGTGTCTGGATTCTTCTCCCTGATCGCATCCTTCAAATGGCCCACCGACAAGCTCGCGTCGATGTCCACAGGAAACACGCTTCCCGCCACTCCAACCACAGTACAGTACAGGGTCACCATCTTTCTTTGAGCCGGGAGAGAATTTCCGTTCGTATTTAAGCGGGAAATAACGCATGCCGCATAGACTTCCAACCAATGGTGAGAGGCCACTTTGTCGCGTGGTTGGTAAAAGAACTGCCGGCGTAATGTAGGTTAGCATGATTTCCACTTCGAATGAATGTCTCCTTTGCATGTAATCCCAATGTTGCTGTGTGCGGTGCTTGGAGGTGGAGAGGAGACCTCCTTCGCACCAGAGGGCATCGAGCGGTTGCGTCACTAAAAACCGCAGCTGTTGTTCTAGAAGGTTTAGACCTACCCTCGCTGGTAATTTACGCGAAGAAAAAAAAATGACGTCGTAATGTTCTAAATATTACTACTCACGTCGACATAAATGAATTAACTAGGCGACTAGTCCCTGAGGTAAATGCTTCGGGTGGTGGCTCTTTACTACTTTATGCCTCGTGTTCAGACTCAAATGACATTGAAATAGATTTTTTCTACGCTGTGGCTTCCATCATTGGTCCTGCATCTGTCTTAAGCATGTGGCATGATCTTGATGTTTCGGCTGAAGCGATTATAAATGAAGTTAAAGTGAAACTTGCTAACTGCTTTTGTGACGACATAATAATCTAGACAACGACAGCTTTTTCAGAACCATTGCACTTATAATCGGTCGGCTACGTTGGCGTTACTAACCCACGCAAATGATATACACAGCGTGAATAATTCCAGGTATGTAACTAGTAGACGAGACAATTAGAAATCTTCAATTTATTTTTTTAACACATGACGTACCCGAAAAGAGTAAGCAGTCCATTGATTGCCAAGTCTTTATTGCAACCAGTTTGTAAAAACACCCCCAGTGGTGGTAAGAGTACAGCGCAGATTAAACGAGCAGTTTTATCCCAGTCAAATTCCGAAGCACTCGAAGATGAACGACGTTCGTCACCCTCGAACCAAGTGTCGGCATCGTCTACAACGCGGTCCATTTCGCTATAGTGTAAGCTACTTCGTGAAATGCAAATAACAAACTTTTGGCAACTGTCGAAGAAGAACAGGAGAGGAAAAGAACTCGTAATATGTGATTCAACTGTGTAACACCCGTTCCAACTGGTAGATCTTCTTTCATATATTAAGCTAAGACATACTATGACTACTATTTGTCCTCTTTCTTTTACTTGCGACTGCGCAGTCAGCCATTGCAATAAGACTCAAGTTGATAAATGAAGAAAAGCAATAGCCATCCTTCAAATGCACAACAATGAGTCCTAACACAAACAATCATACACGCCACAGTAAGAGTCGCTGCGTATACTGCCACACGGCGACGCTTTTTATTGATTTTTTTGTTTACGCATAGACAAAGAG